CTTTCTCTATTAAACTGTCTTTATCTCAACCCATGAGTTTTTGTAGCTTTTACCTTTCTGATTCACTCCCCCATCCCGTTGGTGGGGGAGTGAGTGAGAGGCTGTGTGGTCCTTGGCTGCTGCTGGGGTTAAACCACGACAGACAGGGGCTAAAAAAATTAATCTAAAGAATCTGTTCCCACAGTTCCTACTTTAGGACCAAAATTCCAATCATCCCTACAAACTGAAAGACACCTGGAAACCCATGGCCTCAAAAGCACAGCTGTTAGCTAACATGCCAAGGCTGTTCTGCTCTCAATCCCTGTTTTAGTTTCAGGCTTCTCCTTCTGTAAAAGAAGACTCTATTGGCTCTGGCAGAACTGAGAGGAAGCAGTCATGATCCCCTGCTTCCTTCAGGTCACAGTCTTTCTTCAGAGGAGAGAGACAACAGTCTCCATGGGTCTTGCAAGGATCCTTTGACTTCAAGAAAGGCACAGTCCTATGGGATAGAATCAGCCAATTGATTTAGAAGTAATTTTCAAGTCTTGCATTGGTTCATATGTCTCACACATAACAAAGATTTGTGGGCGTTAAAGGAGTCTAGAGTGTGCTTTTTCCTTGGAAAAAAAGAAGGTAATACTTTTATTATCTGGCCCAGCCATACTCAGAGTTTAGTCCTGCTTTGTGTTAAGGATTTGCTCTAATGCAGCAGCAACTGGTTCCAAGAGGCATCTCATGGTGCATTCACAGACACTGTCATTTGTCATTGTCCTCTAGAAGTGGAGAGGAACTCTTTCCTACAAAATAATTCAGAGAAGAAGAAGGGTGTGTGTGCTCTTCCTACTTATGAAAAAGGGGAATTTATTTTGTTTTGGCTTTTTCAGCAGCAGGTTCATCTTCCTCCAGCAAATATAAAAGATTCTGTTGTGCACTGAATATATATTGTGCTATAGTTTTAGGGACACAGTCCATTCTTCAAAGTGTATATGCCAGGAGTTGTGTAACTTTAACAGCACTGGCAGAAATAGAAGCTGTTGTGAGGGTTAAGTCCAGCAAGTGCTTATATGCTTTCCAGTACTGGACCAGAGTGCTCACCTATGGCTAGGGTGGGGTACCCAGACCACATTGCTTCATGTGTGATCTCCTTTTTTCCACAGTCTTCTCTAGTGGCCACTGCCACAGTCTGTGAACAACTGTGCATTTATCTGTCATGCCTGCAAGTTCCACTTGCTCTGCTGTTTGGATAAGTAGGAATTTCAGTAAAACTATCTTTGTTTTCCTCAAAACACTTTTTCTTCATTTTTTGTAAGAGAAACACCTGCTGGTATGTATTTAATTCACGTTTTGTCATGTTAATGCCAAGTTAAGGCCTTACTCCCAAAATAAAGCATCATTATTTGATTAAGGTATCCTGTCTTTAGCCTTCAAGAAGGTCAGACTTGATTTTGACAGAGGATCATAAATAGTAAAGCTGGAAAGAACATCCAGCACTGGTCAAGGAACAAAGCGAGATGATGAAAATTGCACAGATTAAAAGCAAACTGATTAAGGAGCGTAATAGGACAGCAAAGCGGCAGTTTTAGAACGATCAGGTCATTACCATTGAGGCCTTGCGGAGGCTGAGGCGGTCGGGGCGAGCTCTGAAATAGGCTTCATCAAAGGATGTGTGACTGCCCTTCAGCTTCTCCGAGAGGTTCCGGTACAGGCGCTTCGCGGCGCTGGGCGAGGAGGGCATGCTGTGCTTCTTGGGCTGCAGGAGACTTAAGTTGTGCATTTGCTGTGTCATTCTCAGGTCGTAGTTTCTAGAAGAAAAACAGCAGCTGTTTAACAAGGTTTTGCTACACCAACATCACTGATCAGAACTGTATCACCGAAACACATTGTGAGATTGCTATGGATAAAAAAATCCCTTTCACACAGTTACTGAAGACTCAGAGGATGTTTTGGGGCTTTTTCAGTGGCAAATTGCCCAGAGATATCTATGGGGAGGGTGAATTAAGGATGGAAAAATAAAACAGAGCACTTCAGAACTACTTGTTAATTTGTGTAAGAAGGGGTTTCAGTTAAGGAGGGAAACAGCCTTTTGACAGAGTGAGTTCTGGTAAGACAGGTGTCAAAAAAATGACACTCAAATGTAATTGTTGCTGTTTACAGTTTCACACTGAGTGGTTTCTCCCTCAGCTACTGGACAGGGACTGGTTTTGTCCACATATTGTGTCACTTTATCCTGCTCCACGTTTGCCCTGTCCAAGAGGGTCTGCAGCCCCTGCCTGCCCAGCCTAATCAGAATGCCATGTTATCTCATAATTAAACAATGCTTTCTGTGCCCTATGCCTGCAGTCATTTTTCCAGATTAGCAAAAACTGAATTGCTATTTAACTCTGGAAGTACTTTATGTGGGAATAATTTTGCCTTTCTGAAGGGAAACTAGGAAATCAGATTTGACCCAACTGCAAGCACAGGAAACTATCCCATGGGATTTCTAAGTGAAAAGATGACAAAAATGCACAATTTCTTCACATTTCCAGAGACTGGGCAAAAGCATAAATAAAAAGCTCAGTAAGAAATAAGGAAAACAGACAACTCTATTTCATGAGATAAGTTTTAGGCTCCTTTTAAGAGTTATTAATTTTGGGTTCTTTTACAACCGTATCCTCACCTCACCAATGAGATGAAGCCCTGAAATGTGCATTGTCTTGATTAAAATAACAAACTGTCCAGCTGAAATGTTCTTAGCCTGAGGATATATCATTGTCACAACAAAAACTGTTACAGGACATCAAAGACTAATAGTTTATGAACATGAGGTGTCCAAAACTGGCCCATTTCAGATTTTCGCCTACGGAAGCTTCTGCACAAAGCTGACACAGGTCGGGATGGAATGATAAGGACATCTCCATATGGATCAGAGTAGCCCTGTGTGATCTAACTGCATTCCCACAGCAAGCTGAAAACTGCCACAAGCTGCACAGTACAAGGTTTTTCAGTGAAAGAAAAACAGAAAAACAGCAGCTCCCCTTAGAACTAGTCATAATTAACAGCTGTTTGCATTTCCAAGAATTAAAACCCACAAAAGCCTTACTGCAGTTCTCTGGGGAAACAGTTCCTGCACCACTCTGGAAATGCCAAACCAGTGTCATTTGTGTGACTGTCACCCTGCCATAGCATGTACCAAACCAGGGGCTGAGGTCTCCTAACACACATTTCATGCAGCACATGCTGTAGCTTAATCTTTGTGACTGGATTTCTACTTGTGCTTCTAAGCACTGAAGTAACCATTTTATTCCCCAACATCAGGGTGCTTCAATAGTCAAATTCAAATATAAATGAATATAAAATAATTACCCTCACAAAAGCTTTTAGTTTGGTTTTTTTAAATTGTCAAATACTGACCTAATATTCATTTCCTTTCAAAACACATTGCAGAGAGGGGGAAAAAACCCACCCAAATTGCAGATAACTTTCTGTTGTCTGTGGCACATATATGCTATACTGTACAGACAGGTGCACTAGTAGGGCATAGCAGAGCTGTAAAAGCATTAACTTCAGATTTTAGGAAAAGGCAACAACTGAGAAATAACTCAACATTATGTTTATGAACCAATCTTACACTTGAAACTAATAATTAAGAATATATATGCATTAAAGAGTTAAATTTGACTTACCAGCTTAGGCTATCCAAGGCAAAACATGAACAAGTTGCTGGTAATTGTCCACTCTCTTCATTCAGTGAATCACATTAGCTTTGCTGTCTCTGCTGGCTCAGCCTCTGGGCAGAATGAGTAAACCTCTTCCTTACACTGCATGAATGATCAGATATGAGAAAGCTTATTACTAGTAATTACTGAAGTCCAAGATTGCTGATGAAATCTCAGAGAAAAACAGTATTTAAAGCAAACAGTGCTGTATCACAGGTAAAATGTTTGGTGCCTTAACTCTATAGCAGTTACCTGTGCAGCTATAGGAATGACAGATACGTGAAGCTCTTGCCTCCATAGTCAAAGATGCCATGACTTCTGTATGCTTTTAGCTTGCTGTAGCCTTTAAAATTATCAGCACAATGTGCAAGTAGAAAAAAACAATTACTGCCAGAGTAAACAAAACTGCAATTGCAATTAATTTGCCATGAAGTATGAGCAAAAAGACATTAATGCAGCCATCTTCCAGCAGTTGGTTTTATGTTAAAACAATAAAAGGGGGGAAAGAAATCACAGTCCTACACTCAGTGCAGTAGTGCTTGTTGCATGTGATGTATTGTTTCTTCTTTCTTCAAGCAAGCTATCACTACAGCTGTCTGCAATCATAGCAACAAAAGCAGCAACCATAGCCATAGCTGTGGGACATCTGCAGGATCATTGGAGAGCTCCCAGCCTGAGCAGGTTACACTTAAGAAAAGATTATTAAATGGAGAAGGAAAACATACTCTACCGATGCCTACATTGCAGCTAAAACATGATCCTGTAATGTCTGCAGTAGGAGCTTCCAAAATAGTAGAACGGTGATATTTCAAAATATAATTTCTTTTTTACTATAGGGCAAAAAAATGAAAATGTTGGATCCCATGGAGTCCCACAGAAATGTTACAAGGTCAAATATGGAATAGCTGTACACAGCCTTAGGATTCTAAAAATAGTGTAGGTGATAATCAAGATAAACAACAATCTGGAAAAGCATTATCCTTCTGGACACCCCACTGGCTTCAATTCACACACCCAGAACACTCCTGTGTGACATCTGGCAACAGAAAAGAATTAAAGCACACTAATTCCCGGGTCTGTCATAGCCAGTGGTCATTAACAGCTACAGGAAAAGTATGTTTTATTGTTTTTAAAGGGATACCAGAGCTACTGTTACAATATGCTGAAAATATTTTCCTGGCTTTATTCAGACATGATGCTTGACGTTTGGAAGTGTTGGAAACCTCCCAAAATGTGGTGATCAGCCTGTTCTCCCACCCTTCAGAACACAGCTAAGGATGCTGTACCTCATACCAAATAGCATCCTTCTGCCCATGTAGCTAAAGCTAAAATGTAGTCACTTGATGTCATGGAACTTGAACTTGGTCTATATTTTTAAAGTTAATCTGAATACAGACCAAACCATTCTTTGAGAGTTTTTCTACATGCACATGTGCATATTTCAGGGACATAATGAGAATAGCAAATGCAACTACTTACATGTTTTGCTGCTGCAGCAAAGTGCAAACTGCTATGACAATATAGGATGCACAACATTCCTTCTCCTAAACCATGAAAATCACAGGCTATATGTGTATAGGATTCCCTCTTTTGTTCTGCTTCTTCTAAGGATCATTAGTCAGAAGGCAGCAGGACAGCTGACTAAGGTCACTGCTCCTTGCCAACAGGAGGAAATTGGGAATCTTTTGACAACCACCAAATACCTCGCAAACACTACCTGGAAAAAAAGCATATTAAAAATCTGAAATGCCTAAATCAGTTAAAATTAAATGTAAGCCTAAAAAAATCCATTTCAGTCCTGTGCTAAATAGCAATGATTCTTCTGTGTCAGAAGTGGTTTTGGTCTGTACAGAGCCTATGTATGGAACCCACTTGTGGAGGAATTCTCAATTTCCCGCTGTTTTCAGGGGAAAAGGCTGAAGTGAGTTTACTGAAACTAGTCTATTCTTAAACATTTTCCAGCAATTTCTTACTATGGGTCAATACTCCCTGTTTTTTCTTTTGCTTTCTCCCTGGAGCTTCACGGAAATTAGCCCTTTTGCAGTTGCCATTTCAATTTTTATAATGCTTAGTACTTCTCTATTGCTACCCAAGCAGTATTTAGTAGAATAGTAAAAGTCAAGACGTTTTCTTGCCCAGGCTGGTTCTGCAAGAGACAATTAGGTTTTTTTGTATCAAATAAACATATTTATAACCTGCCTGAACCATGAACATAGGTTCATTATTAAGCTGTTCAAAAGCCAGAATACGTGAAACAACACTCAGCAAGCTAAGAGATATAATTATTAATTTATCGAAAGATAAAAACATGAAATCGGTTACTAAGAATGATGAATGAATGTGTGTAAGCCCAGGAGACACCTACATCTCATTCTTGCAATGAAGACAAAAAGACCTACAGAAACAAACACGTGGGTTTATGAAATAACACAGAGAAGCAGATCCTTAGTCTGGTTTTGTACAGACACCTGCATGTTCTCAGCCTGTGATGATTCATTAGGTGGCTCAGAGGTGTCAGCCACTGATTATCACACCTGCCCCTATTCCCACTGAAGAGCAACCAGAGTCCTTTGCTGGCTGTACTTACACTGCTGACTTAACCCACTGCGGCAGATTTTCATTCTGGGATCGATGAGTCGAAGAATTCCTTACCTGCAGTACACATCGTGAGCTGATTCCACAAGCTGCTATTACTGTCACTATTGCTAAAGCTGCTCATTTTTGTGAAGATGTACATTTAGTGGCACATTTCATTTAAAGAGGCCACCCAAGGAGGCTGATTCACTGACTCTGCTCTGTGTTGTTCTCAGCTTTCTACACCACAGATATTTTTGGCAGTCAAGCAGCAGGTCGCACTGGCCATTAACTCCACCGGAGCAAATTGTCAGTTTCTCCCGGACCCTGGGACGTTCCTGGGATGAGGGAGGCGAGAGATGCTCTGGGCGAGTCGCTTTCACCTCCTCCATCGATAGGTGGCAGCGTCCACTCAGCGCTCCAGAGTCCTGTGGTGATCCCTGGGGCAGCGACCACAGGGCACAGCCCCTGCCCAGAGC